GACCGGCAGAAGGCCCAGGGGACGGCCAAGATTAACCTGGTGCAAATATATGGAAGGAGTCTGTTCCAGATTCCAGTTGTCTTCTGCCGAAACCCAGACAACTGGACAGGATGGCGAACGTTGGAAGCACTGTCTGACGCTTCTGCCTCCCCGCCCCGAAAGGAAAAACGGCGACGGAAGTTCAGGCTGAAGATGCAGATTAAGACAGTCCCTCAAAGCTCGCTGGGCAGTCAAGTATTTGTTATATCCCGCATAAGCATATCTAAGGGTGTCTGATATGTGCAGGCAAAATAACCGCGATTATCTGCAGACGGCACGAAACCGAACGGACAAACGCGGCATTGTAAATAGCGCAATATTTTGAATTCGTTATTATAACTAGCCAAATATTCCAGACTGAAAGAAAGAAGAGTTTACAGGACAAGACAACAACGGCAGAAAGGAACACATCGTTCAGTTTTTGACTCACTCCTGGCAAGTACATTCAAGATGCGCGGCATTTAAGTCCCTAGGAATAGGATCTATTCGAAGAAACCATGAATATACTGACAGTTCAACCAGTTTAATTCGAACGGAAAAAAGAACGGCATTCTAATTCAATTGTTGTTAAGTCCAAATAAAGTCGAAAATCTATTAAAGTTCACTTCTCAGACAATAATAATCACATTGTCTATCATCAAAGCAGAAACTGCAAAGTAATGTCAAATGTGATGCGGAGCAGTTTACGGTAGATTAAAACAACCAATCCTGATGATGCTACCAGTGTTCGTAGCGAAAGACATCGACTGTAAAGTAAAGCCATTACAATTCTGGCCTTTCGTCGGTTACATCCGATCACGCATACAAACAGGTCTTTGCTGAATTATGGACCCACAATCGAAAATTCAATCAACAAAGCTAAGTTGAAACAAAGATTAAAATAAAAACAACGTTCCAATAAAACATAGTTAAAAGTAGCGAGGGGCCCATTTTTCACTAAAGTAGACAATGTGCTAAATTCGTCGACATAGATATAACGAATACACTGGCCTAAACTTAGCATATTTTATTTTACAAAGCGAATTCCATCTGTACGAATTTTTTAATTAATAACTAAATTCCGCTTCCCTTTCGTTTGACGATTTAGTCATTTATCGCGTTGAATTCGTGATCGTTATCTAATGCGTGGCTCATAGTCCCAGGATACTTAGCGTGAAGTGTTCATCTATGTGTACTTTAAAATTCCCAACCCTCTGTCACCTTCCTCAATAAGCTGTGGTTGAAAGGTTTATTAAGGAAACGTGAAAAAATGGTAATTCCTGACATTCTAACAAATGCTCAATATCTTCCGATGTACAATGATCACTGCGGTTCTGCATTTCATCCTTACGAGAGAATGAAATTTAGGTAGAGGAAAACAGCCTGCCGTGCTTTTAGCACATACAAAAAATTTTCGAATTTTCGAAATGCAAAGATCTTTAATGTCATTTTTTGATGATCAGTTATCACCACGATAGCCAACACCCCATATTTTACGCAGTTCACGACCGTGATAAAAACAATGCGTATAGAAGAAATAATTAAAATATCTATAGCAAAAGACTGGATTTCTCTAGCATAACAAATATTGGTTTTGACTTTGTTCCGATTAATAAGATCATCTGTAAAGGAAAACTCGTTATTTTCTTTACATTCTGCCGTGAATATTATCTTCAGGATGGTGAAAATTGAATCATTATAGACGTTTTGGGATCTTTGAAACGAACATGTGCTATTTTTATCTAAAATAAACTATCGTATTTATGGGGTCCTTAAGAAAGGAGACTGTTCATGAGAAGATGTGTATGGTACACAATGTTTCGGTCTTGGTCTAATGGAAAAACTGTGATGTAGTTGATCAGCTTAACTGTGAACCTCATCCTTATGACACGAAGACAATCGTTGTTACTAAAGCGCGGCAGGTAGAACACTCGTAAATCTGTCGACAGTAATTTCGGTGAACAATCAGGCAGTGTAAAATGTCTTAGATAGCAATCATGGATTAGACAGAAAACATCACCGCATCATCTGATCGAGATGAACAAAGAATTAAGCTATTAAAAGAAATCACTATATATCTCCGACCAACAAATCGACATGTAACGGGTTCGTTAGCATATCTAAGGCACATCAGATATAACATAATATAGTATGCCTTAAACTACGACGTTGTGCTGGTTGGTTTTAACCTGTCTTATGCTGCAACATTTTTCGTTTTAATATAAAATCATCTCGCTTCACATTTCCTCCGAAGATGGACAACATCGCCATGTTCTGCGAGTTGGATACATCCGTTGATAGCTTACGAATTTTTTCGTCCTACAACCATTGAATCAGAAGGCTGCGTTGACTTGCTGTTGAACTTAATATCCGGAAATACAAAATGTTTCCAATTAATTAAAATTAAAATAAAAACCAATGTACGGTTCGTGTATCTTACTTTAAGCATTCCATTCGATTTGTGCGCAAACCAGTTCATTTGTTAAGGACAAGTCAGAATGAAATATTAACACAGCGCAGGCCGTATGGCCCAACATGTTAGACAGTCTAGTCTGTTTGTTTACAAACTGAAACCGATCACAGATTATAGGGAAAGAGGGAGGATAGTGACAAGGTGGAAAATAGCTTAACCCTATACGACAAAGATGTCAGTTCGAATCCACGCCTGAACTTTTCTGATTAAATGCCAATTCCCTAAAGAAAGAAATTTATTCTAGTGCGCCTCGCGGCAAACAGTTAAGAACTGAGCAGAACATCGATTATCTGTGAACAACTGGGACAGCTTTTTGTTCCAACATGGTCGCATGGTCAGAGAATACATCTTACAAGCATTTGTCATAATGCCAAACCTCTAAAGGCTGGATTACCACAACACTGAACCTATAGATAAAGTAAGTAAATAAAAACAAAGTATAGCCGAAAACGTGGTTGTGTGAATTATTCATGGTTCGGCGCTCCCAATGCAGCAGATTGTGAAACCGTTTAATGCCAACGGGTTTCACTGCACAGACCGCAGCATCATCAGGGTTGGACAGAGAACAACTGACTGCTTGAACGAAGGCATTTATATCCAACAAGCGAACAATGCCAATTTTTCAGTTGGCTCATCACATACCGTCAAGACGTGGTTACACTGACTGAACAAAATATAATGTCACATCAAAGTAAATCGGATCTTTGTCATTTAGATATATTTTCATGTGACATTATACTTTGTTCAGTCAAAGAAACGTCTTGACTGTATGTGATAAGCCAGGTGAAAAATTGGCACTGTTTGCTTGTTGAATACATGTTTTCAAGCAGTCAATTGTAGTCAGCGCAGCCCTGATGATGCTGCGGTTTGTGCAGTGAAACGCGGTGGCATTAAACGGCTTTACCATCTGCAGCATTTAGTGCCCCGAACAATGAATCATTCAGACAACCATGTAAATAACTATGGACCAAGAATCAGAAACCTGAAGAGTTATTTATAACCTAAAAGTACTATAATTTACAAATAAAGTTTCTAAAAAATATATTGCAAAAATGAACCTTTTCGCATGAACCGTTCACCGACAAGGTGACGAAGTACTTGCAAGCGACAACGAAGTTCTGCACGATCACTGAAAATGAGAAATATAAAAAGCAGAGATACAACATCAAAGGCGCCGCCAGCCGGACTCATTTAATATACGGATAGTAAAGTTACGACAGCTTCGTGTCGAACAGCAGAAGCCGTACCCTAGAATTCATAATAATTCAGTGGTAGTTAATCAACTACTGACCGGCTGTTCTTACTCAGAACGTTGAAGTATAAACTCTAGGAAAGAACAGATATCCGAATAGCGCTCACAATTAAACTATAAGGCAGAACACTGTCCTGGCGAGAACAAACACTTTTATTAGTCAAATTTTTTTTTAATGCACAATAGTCGTTACACCCTTAGAAAATTACTGCATTTTTCTTTTCTTTCCCATTATGAATGCATTATTTTTTGGAATTTGTCCAAAAGCCGACCCTCGCATGCCACCTTCAAGCTGACAGCACACAGTGACTGCTCAGGGTTGAAAAACTGGCCTACGAACTCATACGACGCAACCTAAAATACTGTCCGCGTAGCGGAATACGTCATCCTCTCCAACAAAGACAACCAGCTTCATCCGGCTCCGTCGCCCTGACCTCTCTGCATTCAAGTACGATATCAAAAAGCGGTAAAAATTCTGCCGAACGAAAATTAAACGCACGTAATGTAGACCTCATTGCCTTGTCTGATTTCATGACAAACCTGTTGATCACTGCGCTGATAAGTGGCATAAACTAGCACTCAACCTGTTCATTTTGGCGCTGCATATTACGTGCTGAAATATGTCTTCTTCGGCGTGTTTCAGAAGTAAATTAAATTATATCTGCTACAAAGCAATTCCATGCCTATTGAGTTCAATATTTTTGGCATCCATGAAACCATTACATATGAGTTTTAAGATACTGCTACACTGAGACCATGAATGGTGAAATCATATTGCGTTTAAAATCGACTTTAACACCATAGTTTCACACTTAGTTTATTCTGCTATTTTTGCTTATTTGTACTGTCTCGTTAATGCACGTCATAAAAACTTGAAAGTCGCGGACATTTGCTGAACACTGATCTAATAGATTGAGCGATGTCAATTAAGTTATGTTCGAGTAATGGCAAAGCTAAGAACCGACGGAGGTCAGTTACGCTTTCTTCGCCTCTGAAGGTGTAGTGAAACAGACAAATGCCGGATGACAGAAAAGACGGTTGTGAAACTTAAATCAGATTCGAAACTGCATCCACTCGACGATCGAGCAACCGAGGAACAGGCATATCGGATTTTGGAAATGGACGGTTGCCTACGTCTAACGCCACGGAACTGCTGCAGGCCGATATTAAACGTAGCGTACCAAACGAGAAGCCAAGTCGTCTCACTGAGTACAGTGAGTTCACTTTACAACAGTGGAGAAACCGATCCAGGCCGGCAGACGCGGTTAAGATATTAACGAATAATAAACGTTAGACGCCTCACCGTTCTTGCGCGACATCTCCGCTTCGGACACCATAAATTTGCCATCTGAAAATGCCAAAACAAGCGGATGAGGAAACAGCATCGATCAGGAGCAAAATTATCAGTCATACCGATCAGTGACTTGGCATAGTTCAGACTTTCCGCCTGAACGTTGTTCGACAGCAGTGTCGTGGCGGTGGTACTTTGGCAGCTGCTGGACATCGTCGACTTCTCGGGCTCTGGTTCGGACGCCGAGAACACCGGAAGCTTGATGGTGGAATGAAGGGCGGCGTTTGAGGTGGCCAAGGCCTGCGACTCACCGTCGTCCATCGTCGTTGACGGAGATGTCGGTATTTTCAGCCGCCGGAGATACTTCTGATGATACACCGCGTCGCCGGTTGACAACAGCTCGGAATGGGAAGCAGTCGTCATGGCATAAGTGCAGTTGGAGTTATAGCCTGAACCGGCCAATGAACTGAGATTCACCGGAGCAGACGGACTTTGGCCAGCAGCGAATAAAAATGGTACGGCGTACTTGTGATGACCACAAAATGAAGACGCGTTGCCGGAGAGGTGGTGATGCGTTTGAGTCTGGGCCTGGGTCGGCTTCGTCGCACACACTGCGTCGTTGTGGCCAC